GTCTCAAAGACTATAAACTAAATGTTTCCTCCAAGATTTTATTATATTTTTCTTCTGAGCACGATAGAGATCTGAGAATCGATAGGAGTCTACTCTGATTTTTATACCGATCATGATTTAAATCTGTGCCTAAAAAAATATACAAATTCTTAAAAGTTTTCCTTGAAGACTTTTTCACGGTATTTGTTCTATATTAAAATAGATCTGACATTCAGGGCATATCATTAATAATTTGCTCTATTTTATGTTGAATAATACCTGGAAAATTACCTAAATGGGGAGTTTACATCTGTTGATTTATTGTAATACATTTTTAAATAAAAATGTATTTTTTGTGAAGCAAAATTTTTCGATATAAACTGTTGTACATTTCATTTATTTGTAAAAAGAAATTGAACAAATATATTTTGAATTAAATTAAAGTCAAACATGATATAATAGAATTTTTTCCATTGAAATGAATATTTCAAATAAAATATTTTGTCTCGAAAGTTTTTCTTAACATAATTATATTGACAAAAAAATTGTAATAGAAGTTAAAACTTCAGATAAAATGAAGATATTGAAGGTTGGGCCTACATCTACTAACATGGCACATCCAGCTGGGTAAGCTAATCGGTATGTAAACTGAAGGTCTAGAGATCAATACGCTATATGTTCATTTCTTTTCTGTTCTCTTTAGATCACCCTACAAAGATCCTGACAAGAAATCTAATAACATTCTGAAAGAAATCTTGATAATTCTTGACAAGATCTGGCCAGGAAATATGATAATATACTAGATGAAACTTACTAAGATTCTGGAAGATGTAGACAGAATTTTTTCATTGGGAACCATGAAAATCCTGGCAAGATCCTTCTGAGATCTTGTTGGAATCCTGCGCAAATCTTGAAGATTTCTTTCTTACACATTTCTTTCAGGAATTAGGGTTTCCTAGTCAGATTCCTGACTTTAAATCCAGTGGTAAACTGTTCAGGATCTTGCTTAAATCCTGTTCTTAAGCGTGCCAGGATCTTGAAATTTTATGGCTACACGCTTCTTTCAGGATTTATTGATTTCCTGAAAGGTTCCTAGTGCAAAAGCAATGATAAACCTAGAAGTATCCTTGTTGAATCTTGTTTCAATCCTGTTAAGACTTTGAAATTTCAAGGCTACACGCTTTCTTCAGGATTTCATCATTTTCTCAGAAAAAACAACGAATCCTTGATAGACCTGTGAAGGATCTAGAAAGGAAACATCAAAGATTTCCCCTAGGGAATGGTTTTGTGGTAGCTATACACCCTCATCCTGGACTCACCAGAGCTAGAATGATATCTGTCGTTTGGACACTTAATTCTTTCGACTCATCTGTTCATTCTGCACAGATTATCATAGTTTGTTTAGGATTTCAGAGAATTCTTTGAACAACTATAGCAGAGTCAAAGCCAACTGGAGAGTCCCTTAGCACGAACGAAATCTAGATCTTGGCAAGCTAAACTCACCCTCAAGGTAGATAGCAGCAAAAACTATTGTAATATTCAGAATCAGTGTACTCGATTACTTAAGATCGACTAGGATTCGCCTCAAAAGCGACGTGACATATGGGAATGTTCCCTCATTAGTGAAGTTTGCCTGCAAAAGAATGAGTACAATCGAGAACGAAGGCAGCATTGCCATGGTTTCGATTTATGATTTCTCTCCCTTGCCTCGGAATCTGTATTATTGTTACAAACAAACAAAAAATATTACTAGGCTAAAACACACAAAAAGCAAAGTATGAGAGAATTTTAAAAAATTGACAACTCTCTCTCCAAACAAAGTTTACCTGCAGAAAAGAGGGGGCCGAAAATGAAGACGACATTACCTTGTTTTTGCTTCTCTGTATGGTTGTTCTCTCTCTTCATCAGAATTCGTCTTATTGCCACAGAGAAAAAGCATAACTGCGCTAAATCTCAGACAAACTTACCTTAACTTCTGCAGATAAACTTTACTTGGAGTGAGTTGTCAGCTTTTCTTGCATTTGTTACATATTTGCTTCTCTGTGTTTCATCCCAGTTATGCAATTTCTCTAACAATGATACGGATTTCAATGAAGAGAGGAATTATATAAAGAGAGGTAAAACAAGGCAATGTCGCCTTTATTTTCGATTCCAATTTTTCTATTTCAAGTAAACTTTATTGAAAGAGCAGGATACAACTATATCCTTTTGTGAGAAAGTGTAGAACGCTATTGGATTCTGAGTATAAGAACTGTCTGAAATTTCTATTGCGACAAATTATTGAGTTTCACGCGAATTCTTTAGGATCCTATAAATCGATTTTGACCTGAGTATCTGAAGAGGATATCAGAGGGATGAGATCAGTGACATATCCAGGAGTTTTCGAGTAGTGGGCGATTCTCCGGTAGGTTATCGTTTGCCCTAAATCTGGTCACTCTAAATACATCCCTAAACCGCATCCGCATGTGTGGATAATGAAATCGAAAAAATTAACCCTAGTCCTACCAGCCGGAGTCATATTTGACCCAGACACAAAAATTGAAAAATACACTAAAAATATTTTGTTTTTTCCCAATTTTTAGAAGCAACTAGTATCCAATATGAACAGATGTATGTTGTTGGATCTAAAAAGAAATACATTTGTTTCCATATCATTATAAGTCTTTGATATAAGATCATGCCTTCAGTATACAACAATATATAACTAGAAAGGAGAAAAAGTAAAACTTGCAATACATAATCCAATGACTCATTCACAAATCCAAGTGGATATATATTTTCAACTCATTAAAACCAATTTTTTGAGTGGTTTCGAGCTATCCAATCACCATGATAGATGATTTATCATTGTAGATCAAAGGTATGACTTGTCTTTCTTTCTTGTTTTATATTTTTTGGATAATGACGTTAAGATATCATATTAAAAGTCTGTAAAATCATGACCGAGATTATTTTTTTAGATTCAACTTTACTTACGAATTTATTGCTTCAGCTAATGCCAGTTATCTAGTGCTTCTTCATTTACTTGTAACTTCTATATTGAAAATTTTTTTCTCATATAATTTATATCCAACTGTCCGCGTTATTATAACAACGATTATGGACAATTCGATCGAAGATGAAAGTGATAGCGACTATTTTGATATCCAAGAAAGTGGCTCGGAAACGAATGAAGGTGGAAATCAAACATTAGAAGATGATGACGAAATTGATTTAGAAAACCTTAAATTAAATGAGGATTCCACGCGAAAAAGTCTATATACTTCCAGTTGTGGGATGACCTGGTCTTCAATTCCTCATCATTCAACAAAAACAAATTCTTCAAATGATACTATTAACAAGAAAATCATGGACAAACTATAGACAAAAATATTTCAGTTGTATCTTCTCAAAAATTTGTGGAAAGTTTTTGGATGATTCGAATGTCGATTTGAAATTGATCGAATTTTAATCATACTTTGGTAATCTATTGCAAGAAATAATATAGAATCAGAAAACTATTTATTCTTTCCAGCTAATATTTTTCTGGGAAAACAATTATACAAACGAGAAAACCTTCAGTTAAAATCGAATTTTTCATAAAAGATATATCTAACTAAAAGAACTGTGTAAATCGACATATTGTAGAACTATATTATTTAGTTATATATTACGATCTTATAACAACAATGTTAATTTATTCTACAAAGTATATAACAATTATTGTAATGCTACTATCATTGGAACTGCACCATAAGCATAATAAATGTTTTATATTGCATGATATAATCCATATTCGAAATCGTAATTCTCAACATGAGTAGTCATTTTATTTTTGAAGAAATAAAAAAGACAACATACTCACATGTCATAGAAAGAAAGAAAGAAAAAAAATATGGGAAAAAAAATATCTAATAAAAGAAAAGGAAGAGAATGTTAAATAGAGGGTGTTGTATGCTGTTCATTGATATGCATTGGATTCAGAAAAAAAGGTAATAAAAATGAAATTATAAAATAAATTTAAGTAGAACGAAAAATTTTACATAGAATTATCATGAGATCTCATTTCTTCAAATAAATAATGAATAAAGTTGAATTCAGAAAAGCTCTATATTGTTGCATTTGCAAACTCATTGATTACAATTGAAATATTTCAATTTTCATCCTTACTTTTTCATGATGTATGAAAAATCTAAAATGTATAGCACAGATTGTTTTAATATATCTGAATCTAAACATTTCATTTTTGAAAATATTGCTTTTTTCTATCAAACAGAATTAATTTCTACGTAGAAAAACCGATTTCCATTTATTTTTATTAGAAAATGTAAAACTTCAATAGAAAATTTCTATAAATGAGTACGAGTTTTTGTGCCAAGAAATACACGGATGTCACATGCTATCACCAGTATGTAATATCATCCTTGCATTATTTTACCCTTACTTCATATCATCCTTGTATGATGTTAACCTTGTATCTTTACGTAGTACCGTTTATAGTGTTCAATGCTCTTTCAATAGCTTTGTAACCGCTGCGCTATTTATTGCCTGTATGCTCATTGTTCTCTTTTCACTCCGAGAGATTACCGCATCAAATAGATGCAAGGATAAATTATTGAGAAGGAGAGAGAAGAGAAGAGAACAATCGAGAACAGCCTCAATGGTTATTGAACAGTGTGAAGGATACACCTCACTCGAGGTTAGACATCTTTCTTAGATGGTATATATATGTTGATGTAAAGGTCATATACAGAGAGTAGTTAGAGCAGTTGTAGTGTGTGTGTTATGTAGAGTGTGTCATATAGAGAGTTAGATATATATAATAATGTGTGTGATAATATCAAGAGAGAAATAAAATCGCGTACAACAAGTAATGGAATTGAGGTTGAAGAAACGATAAACAAAGCAAGATCATAAAAGACGTGATCCAACCACGCGGTCATCCATCTTTCTGCAACGTATCCTTCACCATATTATTATCAATTTTCCGTTATATATTACATATCGAATTTAAAAAAAAATAAAAATAAAAATAAATAATGTCAATGACTATGTATTTGTGCACCATTTTTATCTATCAATAACTTCAGTCGATGTGGTATTCGTTCCATCATATCATGACATTTCCCAGAAGTGAATATTTTCCATTGTTGTACGACTTCTTTTTCTAATTCTGATTCATTATCAAATTGTTGTCTTCGAAGTTTTTCTTTGATTGTTCTCCAAACGTTCTCTATGAGCCAAATATCAGCTAAATTTGCATCATCTATTTTGGGTTCAATACGTTCATCAAATAAAGAATCAACAGTTTCTTTAATAGTCGTTGTTCTGTGCTTTCTATCTTGATCATCTTGGAAAATCGGTGATAAATTATTAGGTTTAAATACTTTTTTGATTTCTGATGCTGCTTCTTCGACTAAAAACTTTCCATATAAATCACTTGTTAAATATATTGTTTTATTCTTTTTACTATGTTCTTGTTGCTGATGTAACCACTTTGATAGATTAATTGGTTCACGAGCAGGAATATGTCCAAGTGAGGAGATAGCACCCCAAAAAACGATTCATTTTTCAAATTTATCTGTAGGTGCATTAATCAATGATAATAATATGGGTTCATTTTCTTCTATCCAGATACAATCATTTCTTTTGTTGCAGAAAAGGTGTAAAATAAATTTTCCACTAAAATCTGTATTGACAATTCTGTTCCATTTTCATTTTTTTGCATTTTTCCTAACTCCATACTTCATTCTTAATTTTTTAGTCCACATTACTCGTTGGATTTTATTGTTGTTACTTAGTTTTTGAGATGTTTTCGTTTTAACCCATTTTAGATTTAATTTTCGTACAATATTGTATACAGCACGAGTGGAACATTTCGTTCCATTTCTGTTAAAACTTTGTGTCACGTTTCTGATTAAAGCTCTCTGCTTCAATTTCATAGATACTTTAACTTTCTGTTGAAAATCTGTTGTTGATATTGTAACTGGTCGTCAAGATCTTGGTCTATCATCAATGATATTTCGTATTAATATTCTTCTAACTTTTGTAACAAGTTGATGTCGTTTTAATGATGGATGATTTTCAGCTTGCTGAATAAAATTTGTAATTTGAGATACAGTCCATGATGGATTCAAATTCTTTAAACTCAATACAAGTGTTCTAAATTATTTTTTATCACCTGAAATATTTGATATTTTTGTATTAAAAATTAGCTCTTCTAATTTAAAACATTAACACTACCAAATAACGAATTTTCTTTACTGAAAAAAGTTTGTAAAATGATTTAAAAAAACACTAATTTACTGCCAACTTACTGAGTTAAAAATAGTATTATTTTATCGTTCCATGTGTTCTATTCCTACGATTTTTTGTTTATGAACGTCGTTATTGGCGAAAAAAGCAAATTATATATTTTTTTCTATTTATAACGATTTGACAGATAACAGAACACAAAAATATACTTAGATTAGAAAAATTTGCTCGTCATGAATGTATAATGAAATGAACACAATTCATTTCATTTGCAATTGTAGTAATTCTAAGTGGAAAACCCTTATCACTTTTGTATTGTTTATAATTTTGTAACCGCAATAAATAGAAGATAAAGATGGTGAACAAATACATAGTCATTGACATTATTTATTTTTATTTTTATTCTTTTTTAAATTCGATATGTAATGGTCTTTTCGAGTGATGTTTTGTATATAACATTATAGTCAAGTATGAAAAATATCTCGATTGTTTTGAGTTTTGAGTTTTTCTGTGATGCATATAAACTGATAATGATAATAAATAGAAAGCTCAAATTCTAGTATGAAATAGAACTAGGATAGTAGTATGCACACTGAAAATATCAACTCTTTCGGTCCAATCAATGTATAAAAAGATAATATTGCACGAGGGATCAACACTTAGGGAACAGCCTTGATTATTTCTCCTTAACCCGTAAAAGATTATGATTCTTTGCCGAAGTCAATTGTAATATTTCAAAGCAATTTTTGCCAACGTTCCTATTATGATTATGACCTATGAATATTTGTCTATTGGTAGTAAAATTATTGGCTCATTAGGTCCATATTTGGGATGACATTCAATGTTTTACTTGGCTAGTGGCTTTCTGGAAACCTTATATAACATATTACTTAACAAAACACTTCTATTCTTTTTTCCCTACTTAAATGGTAATAGTTACTGCGTACGTATGTTTAATTGCGTTCCAGAATATTTCGAAAAAATCTTAAAAGAGCAATATTTTTGAACTTAGAAAAAATACTACTTGAAAATAATGCGTACCAGATCTGAGATTTTTGACTACTAAAAGCTACTCGATTTTTCTTTTGATTTCCTTTCGTAGCTGGAAAATCTTTCTCGATTGTCTAATATATGGAAGATAATTGTATATCATTCTTTCTTCATGCAAAATTTTTTCATATGTTTGAAATACCAGGACCTCATGATGCATTCGTATAAAACATTTTGCTTATAAACATGACTTCCAGTATATCTAATTTACTTAAAGTTCATCGCATAAGTCAATACAGTGAAATTCATATTATCCTATATATGTGATAACTGTGCAATGGCGGATCTAGTGGAGGAACAAGGATGCGGTTGTTTCTTCATTTGGGCTTGATTTCACATCTTCTTTTTCCTGTTATTTGCCTTAGAAATTTTCCATTTTTGTCTTATTCACACCCCTTTCACTTATATTTTTCCCTTGAGACATTTCTGCATCCGGTACTGTAACTGTGCCGATGTTTATTCTTCCATTTTCATTCGACCGCCTCCTCATCAGAAACAAAAATAAAAGCCATACGCTGTCCGCAAATCCATACTTTATCACATGCTCGTACCAAAACCTAGCAAACACTTTTGCGAAGTGAATTATCTAAGGCTACACAGAGTTAAAGTCGCATGATGGTACCCTTGAGAAAAGTTGAAACTAGTCGTGGCTTTCTTTTCATGATACACACCCACCGAACTCGAATTCTAGCCTGAGATAGGCTATGTAAATCAAGCGTTGTATCTTGTAACAGAAAATTGAGAATTATTTATTTTTTTAGCTGTGATATTTGAAAAAGAACAGCAGATCTTGAATAACTTTTATCGCATCTTTTTATTGGCCATCAAAAAAAAGGCGAGATATAAAATCTTCTTTTCGTAAGTATAAGATACAGTGACATTGCTCTTGATGTAATTGATAAGACGCACGGGATCAGTATTTTTCAGCATTCCACTTCTTTAATAGCTTGAAAAACGATCATCTCGATGAATTCACATAGCTTTGCCGTATTTTTCATATGAAGTATTTATTGAAAATGTTAAAGCGAGTATAAATGATGATTAAATATTAAAAAAAACGTAAAAGACAAAACGCATGATATACACTACAGCAAAATAGAAAAAGAAAAAGTTGAGAGAAGCCATTAAGAACTAGAAAACAAACTACTAATAAAGCCTTCATCATTGATTAGTAACTTTATGTTATATTAAACTAATCTAATATCAATTAGAGTTTGCGTTAGATAAGATTTTCGAACGCTAAAAAGTCTTTTCAAAAATATAAAGAGCACAAACACCCCTTCAAGATTAAATGGCTTTCAAATAACATCAAAAGTTTATAAAGATAAGAAGTTTTGTAAAGATATATAAAGAAATTAAACAAGAACATGTAATGTTCGAAGTCTCTTAACCCGCAGTTGGGGTGGTTGTTGGTGCTTTAGTTGTGGTAGTTGTTGCTGCTTTAGTTGTGGTAGTTGTTGGTGCTTTAGTTGTGGTAGTTGTTGGTGCTTTAGTTGTGGTAGTTGTTGCTGCTTTAGTTGTGGTAGTTGTTGGCGCTTTAGTTGTGGTAGTTGTTGGCGCTTTAGTTGTGGTAGTTGTCGTGGTGGTAACTAAATGAACACGATCAGTGGTATTAAATTAAAAATATTCTGTACTACACAATATGCTCGTATCGGATTGATAAATCGATTTTAGTCCACTTTTGAATATTTATATAGAAAACTCTTACAATTTTGAAGACGTATTATAGCCTAGGCTTGGCATATGGAAATATACAGTTCGAATATATTGATCTATCAGCTTAAAGGAACAGTGATGTGTCTTATTGTGCTAAGCTCATTTCTAAATAGTGAATATAGACCTAAACCTGAGTGTGGATGTGGGTAGAATTCGAGAGTGGAGATTCGTTGGGTGTGAGAGAATAGAAGACCCATACCGTCAAGATCTAGTTTAGATCTTTGTAGGTTTCTGTCTATACGGTATTCAGAATTTCATTTCCAGAATTCTATCACAATTCACAACTGATTCCATTCATGATTTTCACAAAAAAGATGCAAAGATTTAACCAAGAATTGAGCTCGTTTTTGTTCAGGATCTATTCAAGATATGTGTATGTTTAGATCGCAACACCAGTTCCAACACTACAGTTGAGCAAAATCTCTACAAAAACAAATAGAGAAATTTTTCATATGTTTGTTATATTCTACAAAGCGCCTGATAGAATTTAGAAGACTACCCTGATTTTATCCTGATCATGGTTGGACCTTGACATAAACATGTAGAGAGCACCTGGCGAAAACCTCGACAAAACTTTTCCCGATCTTTCAAAGATTTATACCGTCATTACTCTGATATATAGGGCAGAAACATCAATTACTTTTGGACATATATCGTAAAGCGTATTCAAAACTATTAAATTAGGACATTCATTTCAGTTCAGTTATTTCAATAATCTTCCTAATCCAATGGCGGTATTTAGTAAGAGGTACGCCATTTCGTAAAACCTAATTATACCTTTACTTATGGGTAGAAAAAAACTAGATTTTTTCAGTGTAATTGAAGTTAAGGACAAATTGCCAGATTCGGTAAGCAAAAAACCGATAGTTTATATGATGTTGTCTACTCCAAACATTTTTCAAATAATTTTTCCTCGCCGAAAACCTAATTATAAGTTAAAAACTAAGTCATAATCCAAAATATGGAAACATGCAGCTAATTAAAGCAATAAAGCATCAACCTGCCTCGTACACAGAGCCCATAGTGCAATAAACGTCTACAGATCGATACTTTATCCTTTCAAATTACTTTCATTCTCTTTCAAGCATACTAAGAACACAAAGCAAAGAAAACTCATACAATCATCGAACGAACTTCGTCAAAACACTGCTAGGTATAACAGGATATTTCGTTTTAAATTCAGAGTCCCTCACAGACTGCTACGATCATGCTCTCACCTCAATCGGAATATACTCCATCTCCTGCTAATATCCTCTTCAATATGCTGACAAACTCTTTGATATTTCGTGGCAGCAAGTCTCCATTAAGATTCACTGCTCTCCGAACAAAAAAAATATACCACTAAAAACCACCTGCATAACCAAGCATTACTTTCAACAGTTCCTATTCACAATACAGAAGCTAACACCTAACGATTTCATTCAATCCCTTCCGCATCCCCAATCTATTTCTCAGAAGTCGACCGCAAAAACATCGACATTCTCGTAATGGAACCCAGCCTTACTCCAGACACATATGTAAATTACGGTAAATGCTGATCCCACATTCGTGCAGCCATGTTTACATATGAAATTCACCGCATGACTATCAGGCGTCTCGTAACAAAATAAATTACATCATCGCATCCACCATTATTCCCTTCGCAACGATGACAAAATATTAGAAAAATAGCTTCCACACAAACGCTCCTAAACAAAATACATACTCATGCATTTTACTCTGGATGGTGATGGATCAGCATCACTGTACCCAGGCTTGCAAGTACAGGTCACCGCATTACTATTAACTGGGTGAGAACATGTAGCATTATTATCACAAAAACCATTCTGGAATTCACAAATATCTAAAGTTTTCAAATCAATGCATTAAAGAGAGCAGACTCATTTACGCAAAATACTTACCAACGCACACAACACTTGTAAATGTCAGATCAGTATTAATGTAGCCAAGTTTGCATGAGCAAACACGTACACTACTGGCAGGTTCGTGGACACATGTAGCATTATCACCACATCCACCATTCTGGTATTCACAAATATCTAAAGTTTTCAAATCAATGCATTCAAGAGAGCAGACTGCTTTCCACAAAACACATACCCAAACATACTACATTTGTCAGTGACGGATCACTATCCGTGTAGCCAGGTTTACATGTGCATATAATTTTACCAAAGTCAGGATTATCGTGGCTACATGTGGCATTATTATCGCAATCACCATTGTTCACTTCACATTTATCTAAAGTTTTGAAAGAAATACATTCAATCCATGAGACTCGTTGACACAAAATACATACCGACGCACAGTACATTTCCTCCTGCAGCAACATTTTGGTAGCCAGGCTTGCATGTGCATATTATTTGACCAAAGTTAGGATTACCATGGGAACATGTAGCATTATTATCGCATAGACCATTGTTCACCTCACATTTATCTAAAATATTCAAAGAAATGCATTGAATCCATAAGAACCATTCATATACAATACATACCAACGCATACTACATTCCCTGCTGTACCAACATCGGTGTAGCCAGGTTTGCATGTGCATGTAACTGCATTGCTGTTTAGTGGATGCAAACATGTAGCATTATTACCACATTCACCATTCTGATATTCACAAATATCTAAAGTATTCACATCAATGCATTCAATAAATCAAATTCCTTTCCAAATACAACACATACCAACGCACACTACGTTTGTTACTGATGGATCACTATCAGTGTAGCCAAGTTTACATGTGCATATAACTGCATCACTGTTAGGTTCGTGGGCACAGGTAGCATTATTGTCACATCCGCCATTGTTGTATTCACAAATATCTAAAGTTTTCAGACATATTTATCAAATACATCAGAGTTTTTTATACAAAACACCATATCTTCTCATTTCCGAAAATAAAACCGAAATTCAACATATGTTAACTATACTTTCATTTGTTTTTAAATTTAATTTAATCAAATCGAAAACAACCTTAGGTCTCTACCTTTCGGTTTACAACTTTCAAAAACAAAAATTTACTGAAAATAATTTTAAAATAACTTAAACTTTCAGATACATTTTATAAACTTCCTGCAATTTATAGACTTCGCTAAAGATTAAGTTTCATTACGTTCACTTAACCAGCTGTAATTTGTACACAGCGCTAAACTACATTGGTACTACTTTTCTTTTTAATTACTGCAATTTATATACCTCATTAAATACTGAGTTTCACCATTTCACTTTAATGACCTGCAACTCGTAGAGTGCGCCCTACATATAGTAATCCCTCTTTTTAATCTTAGTTGACTGAACGTTAAAGAGTTTCTCAGACATCATTGTAACTAACAATGCCATAAACTATTTTTCACTTTCAATACAGCATCTAATTGTGATTATCAAATGTAATCAAGCATCAAAATCAGACAATTGATTTGAGTGCAAAAATATTCATCCACAAATCACACAAAATCCAAAATGATCTTCCAGTAAACATACTTTAGAGACACAGTTCCTGATTAGCACCTTCTGCCAATAAACAAAAGCCGGTTGCACGCTACCTACGTTTGGAACAAATATCGAATCAGCACCATAACTTATGATATAAAATACTCAAAAACTCGCTGTCTTTAATTAAAATCAATCTTAGCTAATCGGATTTTTCCGATCATTGCTCGTCCAAAATAGATACTAGTTTCTCATTACAACAAAAAAATACAACATCTTCTGCACTACACTATTTAATGCATTTAAAAATACTCCTAACAATCTACCCATAACAATCCGCGTAATTCAACAAAATAACACGCTGTACCAAATATAACTATTCCACTAAATTTAAAACACTACTTTCAACCACAGCTAACCGCCTATAAGCCTAAACCTATGCTACCAAATCTAACATGTTCAACTGCACAAAACTTCAATATACTTAAAATTGCAGCATAAACTCCAAGCTAAAAATCTGTCCCTTGCCAAAAAACTATTTCCCACAAAGAATATACCACCTCTGCATTCCTCGCATCAAAATCTAAACCACAACTCTAAAATCCCAACCAAATTCCACAATCACCGCCACAACACACTAACCCACCAATACAATCTATCAAAACAATCCACTCTTCATACGCGTGTCCACCCAACAAAATATCACACATCCCACACCAAAAATTCAAAATCAAACACAAAGCATTCATACAAAAATTCACCGTACACGAATCAAATTTTTCCACACTTTCCCTCACTTCAAACACATCACAACGAAACTGGCAAATCAGAAGCAGATCTTTACACGTACCGACACATAGTACATTTGACGTCGGATCGACATCAACGTACCCAGGATTGCATGTGCATATTATTTGACCAAAGTCAGGATCACCGTGGGAACAGGTAGCATTATTGTCGCATTTACCATTGTTCACTTCACATTTATCTAAAGTTTTGACAGAAATGAATTTACTCCATGAGACTCGTTGATAAGGTGCCGCTAATGCAAAGTTTCAGTGTATTAAGTTTTTGATAAAAGTTACATATTCTCATTTGTCTTCTCATGCTGATCACGAATATCACCTAATTTTTTGATTAACTGGAGTCTTCATAGAGAAAAATGCAAAATACTGAGATGCACTGCAAAATCGAAAAAATGTCTTGCTGCAAAAGACTGATCGTACTGCTAATCCATTTCATTTTTCGCGCTGGGCGATGTGATATTCGGATTCCTTGTATGAAAATAGTTATAGCCATGCGGTATAGAATTCCTGTATTTTACATAAGAATTCTTGTATTTTACATAGAAACTCTGTACCAAATGGCTACAACTGATTCCATAAAACGAATCCGAATATCAAATCGCCCAGCACGCCCGAAATGAAATAGATCGACAGTAAAATCTATTTCTCCCACCACCACAGTTTTTCGATACTTAAGTGCGTCTCATTATTTCGCAGTTATCTCTATGAAGACTCCACTTCACAGAAAAAAAAAGGTGATATTCGTGATCAGCATCAAAAGCGCAATCCGAATATATACATTTTATCAAAAAATTTCAATCTCCTGAAACTTTCCATTACCAACACTTTACTAAATACATACCGACGCATAGTACAGTGTCTCCTGCATCAACATCTTGGTAGCCAGGTTTGCATGTGCATATTATTTCACCAAAATCAGGATTACCGTGCGAACATGTAGCATTATTATCGCACAGACCATTGTTCACTTCACATTTATCTAACG